GGCTCTGAGCGCTGGCTCGCCTTGCCGTGCGCCTGGCCGCTCGCCTGGCCGTGCGCTTTGCCGCTCGGCTGGCCGCTCGGCCCGCCGCTCGGCTCTGAGCGCCGGCTCTGAGCCCCGGCTGTGAGCGCCGGCTGTGAGTGCCGGCTCTGAGCTCGCCGGGGCGCTCGCCTTGCCGCTCGCCTGGCCGCTCGCCTGGTCGCTCGCCTGGTCGGTCTCTTGGCCGTTCGCCTGGCCGCTCGTCTTTGAGCGCCGGCTTTGAGCGTAGGCTCTGAGCGCTGGCTCTGAGCGCCGGCTCTGAGTGCCGGCTCTGAGCGCCGGCCATGAGCGCCGGCCATGAGCGCCGGCCCTGAGCGCCGGTTCTGAGCGCCGGCTCAGAGCGCCGGCTCTGAGCGCCGACTCTTAGCGACGGCTCTGAGCGCCGGTTCGCCTGGCCGCTCGCCTGGCGGCTCTCCTGGCCGCTCGCCTGGCCGCTCGCCTGGTCGCTCGCCTGGCCAACCGCCCGGCCGCTCGCCTGGCCGTTCGCCTGGCCGCTCGCCTGGCCGCTCGCCTGGCCGCCCGCCTGGCCGCTCGCCTGGCCGCTCGCCTGGCCGCTCGCCTGGTCGCTCGCCTGGCCGCTCGCCTGGCCGCTTGGCTGGCCGCTCGGCCTTGAACGCCGGCTCGCCTGGCCGCGCGCATGGCCGCTCGCCTGGCAGCTCGCCTGGCCGCTCGCCTGGCCGCTCTCCTGGCCGCTCGGCTGGCCGCTCGGCTGGCCGCTCGTCTTTGAGCGCCGGCTTTGAGCGCAGGCTCTGAGCGCCGGCTCTGAGCGCCGGCTCTGAGCGCGGCTCTGAGCGCGGCTCTGAGCGCTGGCTCGCCTGGCCGCGCGCCTGGCCGCTCGCCTGGCCGCTCGCCTTGCCGCTCGGCTCACCGCTCGGCTTCGAGCCCCGGCTGTGAGTGCCGGCTGTGTGCGCCGGCTGTGAGCGCCGGCTGTGAGCCCGGGCTGTGAGCGCCGGCTGTGAGCGCCGGTTATCCTGGCCGCTCGCCTGGCCGGTTGCCTGGCCGCTCGCCGGCCCTGAGCGCCGGCCCTGAGCGCCGGTCCTGAGCGCCGGCTCTGAGCTTCGGCTCTGAGCCCCGACTCTGAGTGGCGGCCCTGAGCGCCGGCTCTGAGCGCCAGCTCTGAGCGGCGACTCTGAGCGACGAATCTGAACGCCGGCTCGGAGCGCTGGCTCTTGGCGCCGGCTCTGGACGCCGGCCCGCCTGGCCGCTCGTCTGGCCGCTCGCCCGGCCGCTCGCCTGGCCGCTCGCCTGGCCACTCTCCTGGCCGCTCGGCTTTGAGCCCCGGCTGTCAGCGCAAGCTCTAAGCGCCAACACGCCTGCCACTCAACTGGCCGCCCGCCTGGCCGCTCTCCTGGCCGCTCGCAATGCCGCTCACCTGGCCGCTTGCCTGGCCGCTCTTCTGGCCGCTCGCCTGCGCGCTCGCCTGGCTGCTAGCCTGGCCGCTCGCGTGGCCGCTCGCCTGGCCGCTCGCCTGGCCGCTCGCCTGGTCGCTCGCCTGGCCGCTCGTCTTTGAGCGCCGAGCGACGGCTGTGAGCGCCGGCTCGCCGAATCGCTCGCCTGGCCGCTCGCCTGGCCGCTCGCCTGTCCGCTTGCCTTGCCGCTCGCCTGGCCACCCGCCTGGTCGCTCCTCTGACCGCTTGCCTGGCCGCTCGCCTTGCCGCTCGCCTTGCCACTCGGCTCGCCGCTCGGCTTCGAGCCCCGGCTGTGAGTGCCGGCTGTGTGCGCCGGCTGTGAGCGCCGGCTGTGATCGCCGGCTGTGAGCGCGGGCTGTGAGCGCCGGCTGTGAGCGCTGGTTAGCCTGGTTGCTCGCCTGGCCGGTTGCCTGGCCGCTCGCCTGGCCGTTCGCCTGGCCGCTCGCCTTGCCGCTCAGCTGGCCGTTAGGCTTTGAGCGCCGGCTTTGAGCACTTGATTTGAGCGCAGGTTCTGAGTGTCGGCTCTGAGTGCCGGCTCTGAGCGCCGGCCCTGAGCGCCGGCCATGAGCGCCGGCCATGAGCGCCGGCCCTGAGCGCCGGCTCTGAGCGCCGGCCCTGAGCGCCGGATCTGAGCGTCGGCTCTGAGCGCCGGCTCTGAGCGCCGACTCTGAGCGGCGGCCCTGAGCGCCGGCTCTGAGCGCCAGCTCTGAGCGCCGACTCTGAGCGACGGATCTGAACGCCGGCTCGGAGCGCTGGCTCTTGGCGCCGGCCCGCCTGGCCGCTCGTCTGGCCGCTCGCCCGGCCGCTCGCCTGGCCGCTCGCCTGGCCGCTCCCCTGGCCACTCGCCTGGCCGCTCGGCTTTGAGCGCCGGCTGTCAGCGCAGGCTCTGAGCGCTGGCTTTGAGCGTCGGCTCTAAGCGCCAGCTCGCCTGGCCGCTCGCCTGGCCACTCAACTGGCCGCCCGCCTGGCCACTCTCCTGGCTGCTCGCAATGCCGCTCACCTGGCCGCTTGCCTGGCCGCTCTTCTGGCTGCTCGCCTGCGCGCTCGCCTGGCTGCTAGCCTGGCCGCTCGCGTGGCCGCTCGCCTGCCCGCTCGCCTGGCCGCTCGCCTGGTCGCTCGCCTGGTCGCTCGTCCTTGAGCGCCGGCTCTGAGCGACGGCTGTGAGCGCCGGCTCGCCGAATCGCTCGCCTGGCCGCTCGCCTGGCCGCTCGCCTGGCCGCTCGCCTGTCCGCTCGCCTTGCCGCTCGCCTGGCCGCCCGCCTGGCCGCTCGTCTGACCGCTCGCCTGGCCGCTCGCCTGGCCGCTCGCCTGGTCGCTCGGCTGGCCGCTCGTCTTCGAGCGCCGGCTCTGAGCGCCGGCTCTGAGCGCTGGCTCTGAGCGCTGGCTCTGAGCGCCGGCTGTGAGCACCGGTTCTGAGCGCCCGGCTCTGAGCGCCGGCTCTGTGCGCCGACTCATATTTAGCGCCGGCTCTGAGCGCCGGCTCTGTGGGCCGGTTCTGAGCGCCGGCTCGCCTGGACGCTCGCCTTGCCGCTCGCCTTGCCGCTCAAATGGCCGCTCGCCTGGCCGCTCGCCTGGCCGCTCGCCTGGCCGATCGCCTGGCCGCTCGGCTGGCCGCTTGTCTTTGATTGTTGGCTTTGAGCGCCGGCTCTGAGCGCCGGGTCTGAGCGCCTGCTCTGAGCGCTTGCTCCTAGCGCCGGCTCTGGGCACCGGCTCTCAGCGCCGGCTCTCAGCTCAGGCATGCCTGGCCGCTCGCCTGCCCCCTCGAAATGCCGCTCGACTGGCCGCTCGCCCGGCCGCTCGCCTTGGCTTCGTGCATCGGCTCTGAACGCCGGCTCTGATCGCCAGCTGTGATTGCCGGCTGTCAGCGCTGGCTCTGAGCGAAGGCTTTAAGCGCCGGCTCTGAGCCCCGGCTCGCCTGACCGCTCGCCTGGCGCTCGCCTGGCCGCTTGCGTGGCCGATCGCCTGGTCGCTTGACTGGCCGCTAGCCTGGCCGCTCGCCTGGCCGCTCGCCTGGCCGCTCGGCTTTGAGCAACAGCTTTGAGCGCCGGCTCGCCTGGCCACGTGCCTGGCCGCTCGCCTGACCGCTCGCCTGGCCACTCGCCTGGCCGCTCGGCTTTGAGCGCCGGCTCTTTGCGCCGGCTCTGAGCGCCGGCTGGGAGCGCCGGCTGTGAGTGCGGCTCTGAGCGCCAGCTCTGATCGCCAGCTCTGACCGCCGGCTCGCCTGGCCGTTCGCATTGCCGCTCGCCTAGCCGCACGCCTGGCCACATGACTGGCCGCTCGCCTGGCCGCTCGTCTGGCCGGCTCGTCTGGCCGCTCGCCCGGCCGCCCGCCTGGCCGCTCGCCTGGCCACTAACCTGGCCGCTCGCCTGTTAGCTCGCCGTGCCGCTCGCCTGGCCGTTTGGATTTGAGTGCCAGCTTTGAGCACTGGATTTGAGCGCAAGCTCTGACCGCCGGTTCTGAGCGCCGGCACTGAGCGCCGGCCCTGAGCGCCGGCTCTGAGTGCCGGCTTGCCTGGCCGCTCGCCTTGCTGCTCGCCTGGCCGCTCCCCTGGCCGCTGGGCTGGCCGCTCGCCTGGCCGCTCGCCTGGCCGCTCGCCTGGCGGATCGTCTTTGAGCGCCGCTTTGAGCGCCGGCTCTGAGCGCCGGCTCTGAGCGCCGGCCCTGAGCCCCGGCCTGGCAGCTAGCCTTGCCGTTCGTTAGCCATTGAGCGATGGCTTTGAGCACTGGATTTGAGGGCAGGCTCTAAGCGCCGGCTCTTAACGCCGGCCCTGAGCGCCGGCTCGCCTGGCCGCATACCTTGCCGATCGCCTGGCCGCTCGCCTGGCCGCTCGCCTGGCTGCTCACCTGGCCGCTCGCCTGGCCGCTCGGCTGGCCGCTCGTCTTTGATTGCCGGCTTTGAGCGCCGGTTCTGAGCGCCGGCTCTGAGCGCCGGCTCTGAGCGCCGGCTCGGAGCGCTGGCTCTTAGCGCCGGCTCCTGCGCTCAGAGCGCCGGCATGCCTGGCCGCTCGCCTGCACGCTCGCAATGCCGCTCGCCTGCCCGCTCGCCTGGCCGCTCGGCTTGCCGCTACCCTGGCCACTCGCCCGGCCACTTGGCTTACCGCTTGGTTTTGAGCGCCTGCTCTGTCCGCCGGCTGTGAGCGCCGGCTGTGATCGCTGGCTATCAGCGCAGGCTCTGAGCTCCGGCTTTGAGCGCCGGCTCGCCTGGCCACGTGCCTGGCCGATTGCCTGGTCGCTCGCCTGGCCGCTAACCTGGCGGCTTGCCTGGCCGCTCGGGTGGCCGCTCGGCTTTGAGCGCGGCTTTGAGCACCGGTTTTAAGCGCAAACTCGCCTGGCCACACGCCTGGCCACGCGCCTGGCCGCTCGCCTGGTCGCTCGCCTGGCCGCTCGGCTTTGAGCACCGGCTCTGAGCGCCGGCTCTGAGCGCCGGCTCTGGGCGCCGGCTCTGAGGTGCCGGCTTGGAACGCCGGCTGTGAGCACCGGCTCTGAGCGTCGGCTCTAACCGCCGGCTCTGAGCGCCGGCTCGCCTTGCCGCTCGCCTGGCCGCACGCATTGCCGCTCACCTGGCCGCTTTCCTGGCTGCTCGCCTGGCCGCATGACTGGCTGCTGGCCTGGCCGCTCGCCTGGCCACTCGTCTGGCCGCTCGCTTGGCCGCTCGCCTTGCCGCTCGGCTGGCCGTTAGGCTTTGAGCGCCGGCTTTGAGCACTGGATTTGAGCGCAGGCTCTGAGCGCCGGCTCTGAGCGCCGGCCCTGAGCGTCGGCTTTGAGCGCCGGCCTGCCCGGCCGCCCGCCTTGCCGCTCGCCTGGCCGCTCGCCTGGCCGTTCGCCTAGCCGCTCGCCTGGCCGCGCGCCTGGCCGTTGCCTGGCCGCTCTCCTGGCCGCTCGCCTGGCCACTCAATTGGCCGCTCGTCTTTGAGCGCCGGCTCTGAGCACCGGCTCTGAGCGCCGGCTCTGAGCGCCGGCTCTGAGCGCCGGCACTGAGCGCCGGCTGTAAGCCCCGGTTGTGAGCGCCGGTTGTGAGCGCGGTTGTGAGCGCCGGCTCTGAGCGCCAGCTCTCAGTGCCGGCTCGCCTAGCCGCTCCTCTGGCCGCTTCCACGGCCTCTCGCTTGGCCGCTCGCCTGGCCGCTCGCATTGCCGCTCGCCTGGTCGCTCGCCTGGCCGCTCGCTTTGTCGCTCGCCTGGCCGCTCGCCTTGCCGCTCGTTAGGCTTTGAGCGATGGCTTCGAGCACTGGATTTGAGCGCAGGCTCTTACCGCCTGCTCTGAGCGCCGGCTCTGAGCGCCGGCTCGCCTGGCCGCTCGTCTTGCCGCTCGCCTGGCCGCTCGCCTGGCTGCTTGCCTTGCCGATCGCCTGACCGATCGCCTGGCCGCTCTCCTGGCCGCTCGCCGGCTTTGAGCGCCGGCTCTGATCGCCGGCTGTGAGCGCCGGCTGTGATCGCCGGCTGTCAGAGCAGGCTCTGAGCGCCGGCTTTGAGCGCCGGCTCGCCTGGCCGCTTGCCTGGCCGATCGCCTGGTCGCTCGCCTGGGCGCTCGCCTGGCCGCTCGGCTGGCCGCTCGGCTTTGAGCGCCGGCTTTGAGCGCCGGTTTTGACTGCAAACTCGCCTGACCACGCGCCTGGCCGCTCGCATGGCCGCTCGCCTGGCCGCTTGGCTTTGAGCACCGGCTCCGAGCGCCGGCTGGGAGCGCCGGCTGTGAGCGCCGGCTCCGAGCGCAGGCTCTAACCGCTGGCTCCGAACGCCGACTCGCCTTGCCGCTCGCCTGGCCGCACGCATTGCTGCTCGCCTGGCTGCTTACCTGGCCGCTCGCCTGGCCGCATGACTGGCTGCTCGCCTGGCCGCTCGTCTGGCCGCTTGTCTGGCCGCTTGCCTGGCCACTCGCCTGGCCGCTCGCCTGGCCGCTCGCCTGGCCGCTCGCCTGGCCGCTCGCCTCGCCGCTCCGCTAGCAGTTAGGCTTTGAGCGCCGGCTTTGAGCACTTGATTTGAGCGCAGGCTCTGAGCGCCGGCTCTGTGCGCCGGCCCTGAACGCCGGCTTTGTGCGCCGGCCTGCCCGGCCGCTGGCCTTGCCGCTCGCCTGTCCGCTCGCCTGGCCGCTCGCCTGGCCGCTCGCCTGGCCGCTCGCCTTGCCGCTCTCCTGGCCGCTCGCATAGCCGCTCGATTGGCCGCTCGTCTTTGAGCGACGCTTTGAGCGCCGGCTCTGAGCACCGGCTGTGAGCGCCGGCTGTGAGCGCCGGCTGTGAGCGCCGGCTCTGAGCGTCGGCTGTAAGCGCCGGCTGTGAGCGCCGGCTCCGAGCGCCGGCTCTAACACCAGCTCTGAGCGCCGGCTCTCAGTGCCGGCTCGCCTGGCCGCTCGTCTGGCCGCTCGCACGGCCTCTCGCTTGGCCGCTCGCCTGGCCGCTCGCATTGCCGCTCGTTAGGCTTTGAGCGATGGCTTCGAGCACTGGATTTGAGCGCAGGCTCTAAGCGCCGGCTCTGAGCGCCGGCTCTGAGCGCCGGCTCGCCTGGCCGCTCGTCTGGCCGCTCGCCTTGCCGCTCGTCTGGTCGCTCGCCTTGCCGCTCGCCTGGCCGTTTGCCTGGCCGCTTGCCTCGCCGCTCGCCTGACCGATCGCCTGGCCGCTCGGCTGGCCGCTCGTCTTTGATTGCCGGCTTTGTGCGCTGGCCCTGCGCGCCAGCTCTGAGCGCCGGCTCTGAGCGCCGGCTCTGGGCTGTGGCACTAAGCGCCGGCCCGCCTGGCCGCTCGCCTGGCCGCTCGCAATGCCGCTCGCCTGGCCGCTCGCCTGGCCGTTTGCCTGGCCGCTTGGCTGGCCACTCGCCTGGCCATTCGCCTGACCTCTCGGCTCGCCGCTCGGCTTTGAGCGCCGGGTCCGAGCGCCGGCTGTGAGCGCCAGGTCTGATCGCAGGCTGTGAGCGCCGACTGTGATCGCCGGCTGTCAGCGCAGGCTCTAAGCGCCGGCTTTGAGCGCCAGCTCGCCTGGCCGCTCGCATTGCCGCTCGCCTGGCCGCTCGCCTGGCCGCCCAGTGCAACCAGTGCCGCCTGGCCGGCGCTCAGACCTGGCGCCCAAAGCCGGCGCTCAAAGCAGGCGCACAAAGCCGAGCGGCCAGGCGAGCGGCAAGGCGAGCGACCATGCGAGCGGTCAGGCGAGTGGCGGGGCGAGCGGCCAGCCGTGCAGCCAGCCGAGCGACCAGGCGAGCGGCCAGGCGAGCGGCCAGGCGAGCGACCAGGCGTGCCGGCGCTCAGAGCCAGCGACCAGAGCCGGCGCTCAGAGCCGGCGCTCAGAGCCGGCGATCGGAGCCGGGACTCAGATCCGGCGCTCAGAGCCGGTGCTCAAAGCTGAGCGGCCAGCCGAGCAGCCAGACGATCGGCCAGGCGACCGGCCAGGCGAGTGACCAGGCCAGCGGCCAGGCTAGCGCCCAGGCAAGCAGGCGTTCACAGCTCAGAGCCGGAGCTCAGAACCGGAGCTCAGAGCCGGCGCTCAGAGCCGGCACCCAGAGCCGGAGCTCGGAGGCAGCGCTCAGAGCCGGAAAAGCCGTTGCTCAAAGCCGAGTGGCCAGCCGAACGGCCAGGCGAGCGGCCAGGCGAGCGACCCGGCGAGCGGGCAGGCGAGCGTCCAGGCGAGCGGCCAGGCGAGCGGCCTGGCGAGCCGGCGCTCAGAGCCAGCGGTAAGGGCCAGCACTCATGGCCGGCGCTCAGAGCCGACGCTCAGAGCCGGCGCTCAGAGGCGGCACTAAGTGCCGGCGCTCAGAGCCGGCGCTCAGAGCCGGCGCCCAAGGACGAGCTGCCAGGCGAGCGGTCAGGCGAGCGGTCAGGCGAGCGGCCAGGCGAGAGGCCAGGCGAGCGGCCAGGTGAGCCGGCGACCAGAGCCGGCGCTCAGAGGCTTCGCTCATAGCCGGTGCTCAAAGCTGGCGCTAAAAGCCGGCGCTCAAAGCCGAGCTGCCAGCCGAGCGGCCAGGCGAGCGGCCAGGCGAGCATCCAGGCGAGCGGCCAGGGGAGCGGCCAGGTGAGCGGCCAGGCGAGCGGCCAGGCGAGCCGCCAGACGAGCGGCCAGGCGAGCGGCCAGGTGAGCTGGCGCTCAGAGCCTTCTTTGAGCGCCGGCTCACCAGGCCGCTTGCCTGGCCGATCGCCTGGTCGCTCGCCTAGGCGCTCGCCTGGCCGCTCGGCTGGCCGCTCGGCTTTGAGCGCCGGCTTTGAGCGCCAGTTTTGAGTGCAAACTCGCCTGGCCACGCGCCTGGCCGCTTGCATGGCCGCTCTCCTGGCCGGTTGGCTCTGAGCGCCGGCTCCGAGCGCCGGCTCTGAGATGCCGGCTGGGAGCGCCGGCTGTGAGCGCAGGCTCCGAGCGCAGGCTCTAACCGCTGGCTCTGAGCGCCGGCTCGCCTTGCCGCTCGCCTGGCCGCACGCATTGCTGCTCGCCTGGCTGCTTGCCTGGCCGCTCGCCTGGCCGCATGACTGGCTGCTCGCCTCGCCGCTCGCCTGGCCGCTTGTCTGGCCGCTTGCCTGGCCGCTCGCCTTACCGCTCGCCTGGCCGCTCGTCTGGCCGCTCGCCTGGCCGCTCGCCTGGCGGCTCGTCTGGCCGCTCGCATTGCCGCTCCGCTGGCCGTTAAGCTTTGAGCGCCGGCTTTGAGCACTGGATTTGAGCGGAGGCTCTGAGCGCAGGCTCTGAGCGCCGGCTCTGAGCGCTGACCCTGAACGCCGGCTTTGTGCGTCGGCCTGAACGCCGGCTTTGTGCGCCGGCCTGCCCGGTCACTGGCCTTGCCGCTCGCCTGTCCGCTCGCCTGGCCGCTCGCCTGTCCGCTCGCCTGACCGCTCGCCTGCCCGCTCGCCATGCCACTCGCCTGGCCGCTCGCCTGGCCGCTCGCCTTGCCACTCTCCTGGCCGCTCGCCTGGCCGCTGGATTGACCGCTCGTCTTTGAGCGACGCTTTGAGCGCCGGCTCTGAGCGCCGGCTGTGAGCGCCGGCTCTGAGCGCCGGCTGTGAGCGCCGGCTCCGAGCGCCGGCACTGAGCACCAGCTCTGAGCGCTAGCTCTGAGCGCCGGCTCTGAGCGCCGGCTCTCAGTGCCGGCTCGCCTGGCCGCTAGTCTTGCCGCTCGCACTGCCTCTCGATTGGCCGCTCGCCTGGCCGCTCGCATTGCCACTCGCCTGGTCGCTCGCCTCGCCGCTCGCCTGGCCGGCTCGGAGCGGTCAGGCAAGTGGCAGGGCGAGCACCCAGCCGAGCGACCAGGGGAGCGGCCAGGCGAGCGGCCAGTCGAGCGGCCAGGCGAGCGACCAGGCGAGCGACCAGGCGTGCCGGCGCTCAGAGCCGGCGCTCAGAGCCGGCGACCAGAGCCGGCGCTAATAGCGGGCGCTCAGAGCCGGCGCTAAGAGCCGGTGATCGGAGCCGGCGCTCAGATCCGGCGCTCAGAGCCGGGGCTCAAAGCTGAGCGGCCAGCCGAGCGGCAAAGCGATCGGTCAGGCCACCGGCCAGGCAAGCGACCAGCGGGCGGCCAGGCAAGCAGGCGTTCAGAGCCGGCGCTCAGAGCCGGAGCTCAGAGCCGGCGCTCAGAGCTGGCGCTCGGAGCCGGCGCTCAGATTCGGCACCCAGAGCCGGACCTCGGAGCCGGCGCTCTAAGCCGAGCGGCCAAGCGAGCGGTCAGGCGTGCGGCCAGGCGAACGGCCAGGCGAGCGGCCAGGCCAGCGACCAGGCGAGCGGCCACTCGAGCTGTCAGGCGAGTTGCAGGGCAAACGGCCAGCCAAGCGGCCAGCAGAGCCGGCGCTCAGAGCGGGCAGGCGAGTGGCCAGGCGAGCGACCAGGCGAGCGGCCAGGCGAGCGGCCAGGCGATCGGCCTGGCGAGCCTGCGCTCAGAGCCAGCGGTAAGGGCAAGCACTCAGGGCCAGCGCTCAGAGCCGGTGCTCAGAGCCGGCGCTCAGAGCCGGAGCTCAGAGGCGGCACTAAGAACCAGCGCTCATAGCCGGCGCTCAGAGCCGGCGCTCAAAGCCGGCGCTCAAGGATGAGCGGCCAGGCGAGCGGCCAGGCGAGCGGTCAGGCGAGCGGCCAGGCGAGCGGACAGGTGAGCCGGCGCTCAGAGCCTTCGCTCATAGCCGGCGCTGAGAGCCGGCGCTCAAAGCTGGTGCTCAAAGCCGGCGCTCAAAGCCGAGCTGCCAGCCGAGCAGTCAGGTGGGCGGCCAGGCGAGGGGGCAGGCGAGCATCCAGGCGAGCGGCTAGGGGAGCGGCCAGGCGAGCGGCCAGGCGAGCCGCCAGGCGAGCCGCCAGGCGAGCCGCCAGGCGAGCGGCCAGGCGAGCGGCCAGGCGAGCGGCCAGGCTAACTGGTGCTCAGAGCCAGCGCTGAGAGTCGGCGCTCAGGGCCGGCGCTCAGAGCCGGCGCTCAGAGCCGGCGATCAAAGCCGGCGCTCAGATACGGCGTTGCTCAGAGCCGGCGCTCAGAGCCGGCGATCGGATCCGGCGTTAAAAGCCGGGGCTCAAAGCTGAGCGGCCAGCCGAGCGGCCAGGCGATCGGCTAGGCGAGTGGTCAGGCGACCGGCCAGGCGAGCTGCCAGGCGTGCGGCCAGACAGCCATGCGCTCAGAGCCGGCGCTCAGAGCCGGCGCTGATAGCCGGCGCTCAGAGCCGGACCTCAGAGCCGGCGCTAAGCTTGGAGCTCGGAGCCGGCGCTCAGAGCCGGAGCTCAGAGCTGGCGCTCAGAGCCAGCGCCCAGAGCCGGCGTTCAAAGCCGGCGCTTAAAGCCGGCGCTCAAAGCCGGCGCTTAAAGCCAGCGCTCTAAGCCGAGCGGCCAGCCGAGCAGCCAGGCAAGCGGCCAGGCAAGCGGCCAGGCGAGCGGTCAGGCGAGCGGCCAGGCGAGCATCCAGGCGAGCGGCCAGGCGAGCGGCCAGGCGAGCGGCGAGCGGCCAGACGAGCGGCCAGGCGAGCGGCCAGGCAAGCTTGCGCTCAGAGCCAGCGCTCTGAGCCGGCGCTTAGGGCCTGCGCTCAGAGCCGGCGCTCTGAGCTGGCGCCGAAAGGCGGCGCTCAAAGCAGGCGCTCAAAGTCGAGGGGCCAGGCGAGCGGCTAGGGGAGCGACCAGGCAAGTGGCCAGGCGAGCGGTCAGGCGAGTGGCAGGGCGAGCCGCCAGCCGAGCAGCCAGCCGAGCGTCCTGGCGAGCGGCCAAGCGAGCGGCCAGGCGAGCGGCCAGGCGAGCGGCCAGGCGAGCGGCCAGGCGAGCGGCCAGGCGAGCGGCCAGGCGTGCCGGCGCTCAGAGCCGGCACTCAGAGCCGGCGCTCAGAGCCGGCGACCAGAGCCGGCGCTCAGAGCCGGCGCTCAGAGCCGGAGCTCAGAGCCGGCGATCAGAGCCGGCGCTCAGATCCGGCGCTCAGAGCTGGGGTCAAAGCTGAGCGGCCAGGCGATCGGCCAGGCGAGCTGCCAGACGACCGGCCAGGCGAGCGGCCAGACGACCGGCCAGGCGAGCGGCCAGGCGTGCGGCCAGGCTCGCAGGTGCTCAGAGCCGGCGCTCATAGCCGGCGCTCTCAGCCAGAGCTCAGAGCCGGCGATCAGAGCTGGGGCTTGGAGCCGGCGCTCAGAGCCGGAGCTCGGAGCCGGCGCTCAGAGCAGGACCTCAGAGCTGGCGCTCAGACCCTGCGCTCAGAGCCGGCGTTCAGAGACGGCGCTTAAAGCCGGCGCTCAAGCCGGCGCTCAAAGCCGGCGCTCAAAGCCGAGCGGCCAGCCGAGCGGCCAGGCGAGCGGCCAGGCGAGCGGCCAGGCGAGCGGCCCGGCGAGCCGGCGCTCACAGCCGGCGCTCAGAGCCGGTGCTCAGAGCCGGCGCTCAGAGCCGGCGCTCATACCCGGCGCTCAAAGCCGAGCGGCCAGGCAAGCGGCCAGGGGAGCGGCCAGGCAAGCCGCCGCTCAAAGCCGGCGCTCAGAGCCGGCAATCAGAACAGGCACTCAGAGCCGGCGCTCAAACCCGGCGCTCAAAACCGGCGCTCAAAGCCGAGCGGCCAAGCAAGCGGTCAGGCGAGCGGCAAGGCGAGCGGCCAGGCGAGCGGTCAGGCGAGTGGCAGGGCGAGAGGCCAGCCGAGCGGCCAGCCGAGGGGCCAGCCGAGCGACCAGGGGAGCAGCCAGGCGAGCGACCAGGCGAGCGGCCAGGCGAGCGGCCAGGCGAGCGGCCAGGCGAGCGACCAGGCGAGCGGCCAGGCGTGCCGGCGCTCAGAGTCGGCGCTCAGAGCCGGCGACCAGAGCCGGCGCTCAGAGCCGGTGCTCAGAGGCGGCGCTCAGACCCGGCGATCAGAGCCGGCGATCAGAGCCGGCGCTCAGATCCGGTGCTCAGAGCCGGGGCTCAAAGCTGAGCGGCAAGGCGAGCGGCCAGGCGACCGGCCAGGCGAGCGGCCAGGCAAGCAGGCGCTCATAGCCGGCGCTAGGAGCCAGAGCTCAGAGCCGGCGCTCAGAGCTCGGGCTTGGAGCCGGCGCTCAGAGCTGGCGCTCAGAGCTGGAGCTCGGAGCCGGCGCTCAGAGCCGGACCTCAGAGCCGGCGCTAAGCTTGGAGCCGGCGCTCAGAGCCGGAGCTCGGAGCTGGCGCTCAGAGCCGGAGCTCAGAGCTGGCGCTCAGAGCCAGCGCCCAGAGCCGGCGCTTAAAGCCGGCGCTCAAAGCCGGCGCTTAAAGCCAGCGCTCTAAGCCGAGCGGCCAGCCGAGCAGCCAGGCAAGCGGCCAGGCAAGCGGCCAGGCGAGCGGTCAGGCGAGCGGCCAGGCGAGCATCCAGGCGAGCGGCCAGGCGAGCGGCCAGGCAAGCGGCGAGCGGCCAGACGAGCGGCCAGGCGAGCGGCCAGGCAAGCTTGCGCTCAGAGCCAGCGCTCTGAGCCGGCGCCAAAGGCCTGCGCTCAGAGCCGGCGCTCAGGCGGCGCTCAAAGCAGGCGCTCAAAGTCGAGGGGCCAGGCGAGCGGCTAGGGGAGCGACCAGGCAAGTGGCCAGGCGAGCGGTCAGGCGAGTGGCAGGGCGAGCCGCCAGCCGAGCAGCCAGCCGAGCGACCAGGGGAGCGGCCAGGCGAGCGGCCAGGCGAGCGACCAGGCGTGCCGGCGGTCAGAGCCGGCGCTTGGAGCCGGCGATCGGAGCCGGCGCTCAGATCCGGCGCTCAGAGCCGGGGCTCAAAGCTGAGCGGCCAGCCGAGCAGCAAAGCGATCGGTCAGGCGACCGACCAGGCAAGCGGCCAGGCGAACGACCAGGCAAGCAGGTGTTCAGAGCCGGCGCTCAGAGCCGGAGCTCAGAGCTGGCGCTCGGAGCCGGCGCTCAGAGCCGGTGCTCAAAGCCGAGCGGCCAAGCGAGCGGTCCGTGCGGCCAGGCAAGCGGCCAGGCAAGCGGCCACGCGACCGGCCAGACGAGGGACCAGGCGGCCGGCAAGGCGAGCGGTCACGCGAGTAGCAGGGCGAGCGGCCAGCCAAGCGTCCTGGCGAGCGGCCAAGCGAGCGGCCAGGCGAGCGGCCAGGCGAGCGGCCAGGCGAGCGGCCAGGCGCTCAGAGCCGGCACTCAGAGCCGGCGCTCAGAGCCGGCGACCAGAGCCGGCGCTCAGAGCCGGCGACCAGAGCCGGCGCTCAGAGCCGGCGCTCAGAGCCGGAGCTCAGAGCCGGCGATCAGAGCCGGCGCTCAGATCCGGCGCTCAGAGCCGGGGTCAAAGCTGAGCGGCCAGGCGATCGGCCAGGCGAGCTGCCAGACGACCGGCCAGGCGAGCGGCCAGATGACCGGCCAGGCGAGCGGCCAGGCGTACGGCCAGGCTTGCAGGTGCTCAGAGCCGGCGCTCATAGCCGGCGCTCTGAGCCAGAGCTCAGAGCCGGCGATCAGAGCTGGGGCTTGGAGCCGGCGCTCAGAGCCGGAGCTCGGAGCCGGCGCTCAGAGCCGGACCTCAGAGCCGGCGCTCAGAGCCTGCGCTCAGAGCCGGCGTTCAGAGACGGCGCTTAAAGCCGGCGCTCAAGCCGGCGCTCAAAGCCATCGCTCAAAGCCGAGCGGCCAGCCGAGCGGCCAGGCGAGCGGCCAGGCGAGCGGCCAGGCGAGCGGCCAGGCGAGCGGCCCGGCGAGCCGGCGCTCACAGCCGGCGCTCAGAGCCGGTGCTCAGAGCCGGCGCTCAGAGCCGGCGCTCATACCCGGCGCTCAAAGCCGAGCGGCCAGGCGAGCGGCCAG